CGACATCACATATTCAATTGATTTATGTGTTTTGTTTGTGAAGAATTGCAGAAATAATTTATGTAATATTTATGTATACAGTAAACCACTCACAAGGTCCTACAGTACCACTAATTATTTTATACTGAAACTTACGTTTGGGAAGCTGGGTTAAAATGAAGATTACCGGTATATTAAAATAATAAAAATGTATTATAATCCAGTCTAACATACCGTAATAAACACAGCTGCTATCATCACCACCCCTCACCCCCATTTGCCAGTGACAAGAAAGGGAAAGTGACCTTGACTGACCGCCTGTGGCTATTTTTAGCCGTCCTTGTGTTGGGAGGTGGTCAGTAATGCATATCTGTATATTTACTGATCATAATACTTATCTCTTATAAATAATTCATTTAAAATTTATTTTTTTGCAAAGAATATTCAGTAAATGACTGCATTAATTCTTGAAACTACCTACAGTGGTAAATTTAGGATATGAATAATGAACAGAAGTCACATCATGGATTCGTTGTTTGGTCCTTAACGATCACCATAAATGTAGCCTCCCTTTGTCGCGAAACACGTATATAAATTAAAGAAAATACTTGCAGTATATTTAATATATTACAGTATATTATATATAAACAAATAAACAAATAAATTCAAATTACCTTCTCATCCTGTGTTATATACAGAAATACTTGAGTCCCTGAGCGAGTACACAAAAAGAAAACGGAGGACTAAGACATCCTGAAGTGGTAGAGAACGACACCTACTGGGGGACTCAAACGGCTCTCATGTTTTGTGGGCGCTCTAGCATAATATGAATATGTAAATTACAATTTACATATATATATATATATATATATATATATATATATATATATATATATATATATATATATATATATATATGTAAATTGTAAAAATTTAAATAAAAGAAAAACTAAATACGTAGCGTTTAAAGTGTTAAAGTGTACTGTACAGTGTTGTGGCTTGGCTCAGTGTTTACAGTTCACGTTCGACATCACTTGTTGAATTGATTTATGTGTTTTGTTTGTGAAGAATTTGCAGAAATAATTTATGTAATATTTATGTATACAGTATACCTGTACAGTATATGTAAAATGTAAAATTTTAAATAAGAGAAAAACAAAATACATAGCGTTTTAGACCCGCGCGCTCTGTTTACTTCACACTGTTTGAAGTTTTTAAGTGTCCTCAGTGAATTCTGATTACTGTTTCTCCAATTTTGTGACTATGGAAAAGAAGAATATCTCTGGGAAGCACTCTGGTGATCGCATTTCCGGTGGTGATCGTAAAAGAAAGGCTATAACACTTGAAGAAAAGCTTGATGTTTCATGACTCCTCAGCCTCAACATCACCCTTCTCCCCCATCAAGTTATACTCATATTTTTTCAAGGTAAAGTGTAACATTTACTGTATGATTTCATTATTAGATATGAATGTAACATTTATTTAGACTGTGCTATCCTTTGTGTTAGGCTAACTACGAAATTTTTTTTCGATTTGGAGTAATCTGCACCTAACCCAATTTTCTCCATAAGCCCTGTTATTTCTATTACACGAATTTCTATAACACGATGTTTTACAAGAACACAACTATCGCGTTATAGCAGAACTACCTGTACGTATACTGTAAATTTCCAGTTTAACCCCGTTTGTATCGGCGGGCATTCGTAGGTCGGGTACCCCCTGTACTGTGTGTACTGTACTCGAGTATAACCTTATTTTTTCAATCAAATTTTTATGTAAAATGTAGTGGGTCAGTGACTGTATAAATGCAATTGTTTGAAGGGTTAAAACTCGTGCATTTATGTGGGTCATTTACAATGAATGATAGCTACCTGGTATAGTACATGTTCATGGTAGGCTAACCTTACCAGTAAGCTCCTTTATCCTGGGCTTGCCTGCCATACCCCTATATTCTTTGTTACTACATGAAGAGCAGAACCTCATTCAGTACATAAGCCACTTTAAATCTACAAGTACCTGATACAAAGGAAGATTTACAGGTACAGTTCAGTAATTTTCTTTTCATTTCTTTCTGTTTACATTGTCGGGGAATTTTCAACCATTCCCCACTTGTGTGTTATATGTACAGTATTACCCCGCTTTCCGCGATTTCTCATTTACGCGGTGCCTCGCCAGAACCGAACTTTCACTTTCCGCGATTTCTCATTTACGCGGTGCCTCGCCAGAACCGAACTTTCACTTTCCGCGGTGCATCTACTCATATACACGGGAAGCGGTGCAGGCAGGATGCACACAAGGTCGCCCAGTCATCAAAACATTACCGAGTTCTTCACCCGCCACCCACCACAGCCGGCCTAAGTCAGTGATAGTGATAGTGAGGATATGGACATATATGGACTTTGAGGGGTTTGACAAAGAGGCCCTGCAAGCCTATGTGGTGGATAGTGATACAAGTGATACAGGTGAGGGCCAATAATCTGCCCTCTGCCTCGGAACCAACCCCCCATCCCTGTGTGCCCAGCCATCTTTTCTACTAATGTAAGTGTTAAAAAAACTAATATTATTGATATTTCACTTAATTATTAATTGTGTGTGCATACCATCATAAAATTAAGATGTAATTTTTACTACAACGTAGGTATTGTGTCTGAAAAAGTGGAGTTTGGGGGTCGGGCCAGTCTCTATTGGAATTAATCCCATATGTTCTGTTGTTCACTTTACGCGGTTTTCACTTTCCGCGGTACCCCATGGGTTCAATTGACCGCGTAAATCGGGGTACTACTGTACACACAATCCTGCATACAAAATGTGCAAAAAATAAGTGATAATTATCATATAGGAATAAATATTTCTTCCATGTGCTAGAGTTAGTAAGTTAAGCGGTGGAGGGGGGGTCAGTGGAGTGTGGGAGCACTGTTGCTAGGGGTAGGCAGAGGAAGTGTAGCTGTGTTGGTAAGGCGAGCACTGAGGCCAAATGACCAAGAGACTGATGCAGTGTGTGTACAGTGCGCTAAATTGTATAATTTGGGCTTTTTTATGCTTTTATTATTGCTATATTTATATGCTTTCATTACTATTTTTATATACCTACAGTTTAAGTTTTGATGTTACAGTGTACAGTTAGATCTACATTTAGGGGTGAATCTAGCAAAATTTATAAAAACAGTATTTTCTCGATTTAACGAACTAATTCGAGCCACCCCTGTTCATTATACCAAAATTTCTGCGCAATCGACCTTTTTGTTATGTTTGCATGATTTACTGAACTACTGTATTTCACTAAATCAAGCGGCATTCCGTTAAATTCCGTGCCAAACGTGTCACTTGGTACTTGGGGTTTGTTTACATCCGCTCAGTCTGTGTCCTGCAGCAACTCTGTGTGTTATTCACTGCTCTTTTAACTCGCCTCCTTCCCTGCCATATTTCACTGGATTTACTGTTATTACTTTTTCCTCTTCACCATGGATCAGCTCGTTAGCTGCTTGGGCAATTGGTCACGTCTCAGCTATGCACTGTTGGCAAGTACTGGGCGTGTGTTGGCTCTTGAATGTATCTGAACCTGCTCCAGTGCTTGTCAAGTCTGGTCTTGAAAGAGCTTACACTCGGTGCCGTCACAACACGGCAGATTGTTCCAAGAGTTCACAACTCTCACTCCAAAAAAGTTACCCCTCAGTTTTGGGGCTAGCGGCTTCTTAAAGATTGAGCTGTGACCCCTTCTGGGGTGAGCATCTGCCAGCCTCAGGTAAGGACACTCAACTGAATAGTGCCCTTTGAGATATTTATACACCTCAATTAGGTCCCCCCTTGCCCGTCTGTAGTATAAGCTAGGCAATTGCAGGCACTCGAATCTCTCAGGGTAGCGGAGGTGCCGAAATGCTGGCACCAGCCAGGTGGCCCTCCTTTGGGCATTTTCAATCAACTGACAATCCCTAGCATACGGTATCTTGGAGACCAGACAGGGAAGCACCTTACTCTTGAAGATCGTTACGAGGGACTGACCATCTAGATATCTGAACGACCTTCTTATAAGACCTAATAATTTAGTTGCCTGATTCACCTTCTCCCAATGGCCTGAGCAGATGTGAACAAGGCTAAATGTAGAGTGTGTGGTCAAACATATGGCCACACACTTGAACATTACGTCCTCGACTGTGTGAAGATAGAACCTTTGAGGGACAGGTCCAAGCACACTGTGTGTAAAATGGCACAACACTTCATCTCTAATGGCAAAATAGCGGACATATTAAGAATGTATCCCTCTTTTGCACGAAGTAGCTATATCAGTTCCCATGTATAGAACCAAACAGACAATGTGCTTGAATACCTCTCACACAAATATGAATAACAAAGTGTGCGGCAAGACATATTGCCTCACACTCCTGTACTCACGCAGTTGTGAATAAGTTACCCTTTATGTACACTACAGTACTGTATAGAACTAAGCAAAGAACTTAATTGAAATACTGTGCAACATTCAATGCCATAATTTAATGACCACGGCTAACCCTAGAAAGGGTGGAAAATGGCTAAAAGACTTTGATAATAATGTGGATACCCCGGCATCAATGAATCCTCTAATATACATATGCAGGTACTCCCCGACTTATGACGGACCGACATCCAGGTTGTAAGTCGAAATGGTCGTAACTCGGAAATGCTTAAATAAGACAGAAAATCTAAAATGGGTGTCCCTTTTTCTTCTCAGCACCACAAAACACTCACTTTTAAGCTTGCCAGCCATTTTAAAGTGAATTACAGATGAAAATTTTGTCTGTGTACTGGCTTTGGGACTCGAAATACATAATTTGACCAAATTTTGGTATGACTGAGGCAGGTCGTAAGTGCGGGTGGACGTAAGTCGAGTAGGTCGTAAGGCGGGGAGTACCTGTATCATACTTGAAAGGTAGCTTTTATAAAAGCAAAAGGCAAACCATCTTTCAATTACACATTATTACAATGTAAATTTTATCCATTAGTATTTAAATTACAAACAGGAATAATGGCTACAATAATTCTTACAGAATGGTACCATATTTTATTAAACATATGTACATAATTATTAAAGAATTCTAATCATCATGCCATGATGAAAATTTACGGTTAACCAAAAAATAAAAAAAAAAGATAAAATTCAGACAGTTCATGAAATATTTCCATAAATTGAGTAATAATGAATTTAAAAAAATTAATGTACAGTGCAACATGCCCTGACAATTCGCGAACCTCAATTATTCGTGGATGACATCCTGGATGTATCCAAGAATGTCTAAGGGTAGTTTTAAAGTTGCTGTCATTTTCGCAGACGGGAAAGGGAGTCATTCGTTCTAGAGACTAATTTCTTTTACCTGTATTGTCTATGTGTGTGTGTGTGTGTGTCTACACACACATAGACATATACAATACAGTACAGGTAAAAGTAATAATTGTCCTCAGGGCAAAGACATAATGGCAATATACATTTCTTTGCACGCAGGTAAAAACGTAACACCCCCCCCCCCAGCCAGCAAATGTTATTCGTGAATTTGGCTATTCGCAGCAATTTTGAGAACCAAACCCCCGTGAATTTTAAGGGCATGCTGTACTGTTATTCAGTACAGTATAGACTTCAAGTTCTGGATGGAAGATATATATATATTTTTTAAATTGGTTTACAAAATTCAAGAAGATATACCTACACAAACTACTGTATGTCTTCTATTTATTGTTCTTCCTCTTCTACATAGCGGGTGATGGGATTATTCTTAGTGAGTTCCTCGAGCACAGGGGCTTCCTCCAGGAAGAGTGGTTCAGCAGGATACTCCCAATGGAAGCCTTTCCATGGTATTCGTTCACGTGGATTTGTTGCATAATGATGAATTCGACATCGAACTGGAGCTTCCTCTTTATTATTGACCTGCAAATATTAAGAAAACTATAATTTTTTCTCAATTTCAAATAGCAAATTAAGGAGTGAAAAAGAAACACCGTACAGTATAATTATATTTCACAGTCTAACATTCAATATGCTAATATTCTTCCTCTGATATAGTTTTTGAGTTCAAAACCTATGAAAGATGGTGATAAGCTTGAAAAATTATCACTTTAAAGTTTTGCTTTCTCAACCTGTTGACAGTCCAAAAACTTTGGTATTGAGGTCTAGTATCACAGAAAAGACAAGACTAAAGTCTAAGCAACTTTATTCAGAAAAATAAACCTTTTAAACACAATTGCCAGGAAATTAGTATTAATGTAATTGATCATGTTTATGTGACAAAAATTGCAGTAACCTCTATTATACTGTGGCTATGGAAAAATCTTAATGCTCTGAAAAAAATAAAAAATTAAAAATGTTATATTCTTATGAAATTAAAGAAATGCACACAGAATAATATACAATGAAATTTTAATTTATTTACAGTTGTTCAGCTGCAGAAGAGTGTTTAAGTGAGTGTGTGGTGCCAAGTCACTAGGGGGAGGAGGGAGGAGCTGGGGGATAGTGGAGAGACAGACTACCACTAAAACAAACATGTTGTTCATGGTAATCAAGAGCCCTACAGAGGTGTGGGGGTAATGTGAGGAGATCTATTAGGACACATGACACACCTTAAGAATGCTAATGTTGGCAGGCAATTAAAAAAGAAAAAAGGCGGTTCTCATATGAGACATTCATACGAGTGGCCATAAATAAGAGACACCATGGTTTAAGGCTTAAATAACATTATTCTTACTGTACCACTACATTCAAGGGTAATGGAAAAAATCAGTCTATAATGCAGCCTACACAATGTTACAAACCAGAAAATGTCTAGATCATGTTTAAGCCACCAGGCAGCAAGCAACTAGAAAACAGCCAATTAAAAAAACAAAAAATACAACATTAATTCTTAATACAATTCCTTGTTAGTCATATTAGCACCATACCTTCACTTTGACTAAAAATTCCTTTTCCTGCAGTGAAAGATCTGGCCCAACAATTGGATTTGAGGGTAGTGTGAGCGCCTCCTCTGGTAGAACGATTCCAGCTTTACGGAAGGCAACTCTCACATGCCACGGTTCAACCTTCCACGGGTTCTTCATATTCATAGATACTGAGATTACCCGTGATGATAGCTCTTGAACTGTCTGAAAATTAACAAAACATAGTTTTATCATCCATTTTCCTAATGCAAGCATATATACAATGAGATTAATTGGCCCTGATAACATTTTAGTTGTCTGAACAAATAAAGGATACCTTACTTTACGTGCAAACTGGGATGATGGCTGGTCTTCATCTTCAGACACCTGCTTCATTATGTTAGAGTATTTCTCTATATTTTCTGGCGAGGCATATACTGCAAGGCCTGGCAACAGAAGGTGGTATCGGGCCCTGCTGGGCTTCACTTCCACAATTTGTCCCTTTGATCCTAAACCTAAGGGTGCATAATCATAATGATAAAATACCTTCCAAACATATCATGATATTAATACTACAGGTATACTGAATTAATTTGAAGATAGAAAAAATTAAATTCTATGGGTTTAATTAATTTTCTTGCGTGATTTTTTTTTTCACAAGGAGCACAAACAAGAAAATCAATTAAAACCTAATATCATCCCCCCCCCCCGCCCCTTGGTCCGCAATTGTTATTCATGGATTTGGCGAATCGTGGCTATTTTGAGAACCTAACCCTGCAAATTTGAGGCAACCCCCTGTACTTTACTTACTGATTAAGGATCTGGGTTCACAATTGAAAAATTCAAGTAACTAGAATAGTATTCAAAATGTCAATTACACTATGCTGGTCACTTTTATATACTTTTCTTAAAAATATAGACAATCTTTATTTACTACACAAACACATTACTGTACTTTTCACCACTTGGGGTCATAAAATGGATTTTGTTCTAAATTTTATACAAAGGTAATACTTTACATGTTGATTAAGGATCCGGGTTCACAATTGAAAATGTTAGTAAATAGTGTTAATTAATGACCTTTGAAATATTTAAAGATACTGTACAGTAAAACCCTCACAATTTGAAATAATCAGGGCTCTAGTCCTTACAAAATATGGGTAACACTCTCTCTTCTGACACCTTTTCTGCGAGGAAAAACACATAGTATGTATGTATACTGTATACAGTAAAAGTCTAAAAATCCGGACCACCCGAGAATCCGGACTTTTCGAAAACTCAATTTTTTTTTTTAGCGGGCTTTTGTGTGTATGTGCGCATGCGTGAGCGCCACAGCTGCACAGCGACAACAAGCGACCACGTGGTCGCCACTTTAAAATGAGCAATCAAACTGTGACAACATATGTAATTTTGAGTCCCACTCTTTCCATTTACAGAGTACTGTACAAGCCCATAATAATGGCTTCTAAAGTAGATAAACTTCGTTGTGTGAAGAGAAAGAAGAACACGTTGAAATTGAGTGACAAACTTGAAATAATTAGGAAACTAGAACATGGTGTGAGCAATACTGTTCTAATGGAAACATACGACATTGGAAAGTCTACAATTTATGATATAAAAAAGGCAAAGAATAAAATTCTAGAATTCACAGCTTTTCCTTTAAAACTGCTCATTTTGATAAATGAAGCATGCTATATTTGCTAATGAATAAACTATCAAAATGTACCTGTTTATCTCTTCTTCATTCCTCCTTAAATTTGAATTTTAAAAGTACTGCCTGAGAATCCAGAAAATCCGGACCGACCCAATCCCCAATCAGTCTGGATTTTTGGACTTCTAATATATATATATATATATATATATATATATATATATATATATATATATATATATATATATATATATATATATATATATATATATATATATATTTCAAAATGTCTCATAATTCAAAATTTTATCAAATATTAAAAAAATTGTAACATATATTTCGTAACAGCAAAACAACACGAATTTGGGGGCTTTACTGTACTGTCTTTTCATTACTAGATGCATATAAGTTTTGGGTTATACGTAATGGTATAAGTAATTTTCTAAATGATACCATTTGGGTCTAAAAAAAAGGAAAGAGTTTGAAATTGTGAAAAAATATCCTAATAAAACCATATTTAATAGAATGTTTAGTACTAAAGTCAACAAGGTTTACCCACCATCAACTGAGGCCAGGAGGATGACTTTAAGTGGTTCCTTCTTCCTGACATTGGTGTCCTCCACAAGCTTATAAACAAAATCACGGGCTTTCATCTTTCTGCTGCTGGTTTTTTTGTGAGTTTTCCGCAGAAGACTTTTACTGACACGCTTCAAGATAAATGTTGTCTGGAAATGAGAAAAAAAATCATCAATTTACATAGGATAAGAGTATAATATTGGTAGTACAGTGATCCCTCGGTTAACGAATTACCTTCCATAAGATTCTTAACTTCGGTTAACGAGGAATCCCTCAATTAACGAATTTTTAACAAGCGCCCCTCCACATGTTTTCGCTTGTATTTGGCGGTCCACCAGCTGTAGTATTAGTCGGTTCTTGGGCTTAAATTCCTTACTATTTTAGTAAATATCAAGAAGTTTGTACTATTCAATAATTTTAAAAGTTTTATATAAATTTTTTTAGTCATTTTAACAATTATTGAATGTAATTGAGTAGAGGAAGCTAGTTTTTTGCACGCCAAACAGCCTGTCAACACACCATACAGGCGTCAGTCTCTGTGTCTTTTCAGTGGAGGTAACATCTTGCTTCAGACTCTCTTCAACTAAACGCTTTTTTTCTGTGTTTCCAAGCAAATTATTGGTCATTTTGAAATTTATTTTACATATTGACAATATATAATGCAGTGCAGTGTTGATTTAAAGAAAATATTCTTGAATTACACAAAGAGAACTAAAATTTTATGGGTGAAAAGGCACCATGGGGTGACTTCTCTTCCACCCCAATGCCTTCTCTTCTCCCTTCTCCTCCACCCCCATTCAAATTCCCATCATCATCATCCAGGAGCCTTCTACATACACACCTCAAAGTAAGTGTACTTTACTACCTTTTTTTTTTACTTTAGGCAATTTTCGGTGAGCTGGAACCAATTACCCAAAAACCCATTGAAACAATGGTTTCGGTTAACGAGCAACCTTCTGAAACGAATTGTGCTCGTTAACCGAGGGACCACTGTACAAGGTAGCTACTGTACTGTACATCAATTATCTGTCTCAAAGCACCAGCATTTTAAAAATACAAAAATTATTATGCAGTACTTTAGCACCAAACATTCATTGTTTTTAAACTAACTTGGTGTTAGAACTTTGTTGCTTAGGTTAGATTAGCTTGCATTACCTATGGTGTTAATAAAACTATCAATGGTTGCTTTATTATTTCCAGTATCTACTCAGAAGAAGTTACATGAAATTAACAAAATGCGAGTAAGATTTAAACAGGTCCATTTGCCAAAACTCTTCATCACTTTCACATCCATATTCCAGCTTCTTAGCTCAAAAAGTGCCAAAGGTATCACCCAGACAAGCAGACATTAATGATGAAAACAAACAGTATAACCACACCACTCAGTAACCCCCTTTCAGAGCTCATATCCTTGGAGCAAGAGTTTTGCACAGTACCTGGAGACAGAATGGTGGAAGTAGGGGTGTAGAATACAGTATTGTATTAAGTTAATTCATCTCTGTATAAAGCACCTTTCCTGAAACAATACTTTATTTCACTGTGCACTATGTAAAAATAATATTCTAAAACATCAGGTATCCAGTCACTCACCCGGACTTGCTGAAGAAGAGGACCACCACAAACTTTAGTCTCCACATCTTTGGCGGTCAATGTTCTGCCAGCTCCCCGAGATATGGCCAAACCTGTATTTTTCAAATGAAGGTTTGCTAGACCCTGCACCACGGACCGCAACATCTGAAGGAAAAGTGAATCAACAATAAAAAAATAGGAAGAGTTTGCATAGCTGGCTATCTAACACAAGAGCTTGCATAGCTGGGTACCCTGGCTATCTAACACAAGAGCTTGCATAGCTGGGTACCCTGCTTTCAAGAGTTTTGTTAAGTTTATGATATTTGTTAAATTGGTAATGTTCCATGTATGGTTATGGGTTACAGATACAGTACGTATAACAATACGAGACGAAATACTGAAATTCGCTTTCATTACAGTAACTCAACAGTATCATCACAGCAAATATAAATGCAAGTACAATACCAGAGGTCTTCAGTAATCTTTAATATAATACTGTATAACTTTAAAGGGAACTACTGTCGATATACCTAACCTTCACTTCTAATTATTTTTCCAAAAAAAAAAAAAAAAAAAAAAAAAAAAAAAAAAAAAAAAAAAAAAAAAAAAAAAAAAAAACCTGAAGCAGAATCAGACACGGCACTAGAAAAATCCGAGTAAAATATGCCAAAAACAAAAAAATAACATCAGTGAGGAAATTTGTTTTTAATTTTTTTTCTACTTTTTGATTCCACTTAAAAAAAGAATGTAATTTTGATCACACTGGACACATTTACCTGTATTTTACCATTTTACTTATCTCATGTCTACTGACTTCCAGTTTACATTTAACAGATAGTTAATAAAAGAAACGCAATTAGAAAATAACCCCGGAGACAAATACATTAAATGGTTTTCTTGGGTAAATCAATTTACTGTTTATACACGTGAATTTTTATAATGAATATACTGAATAAATATGTCATTATACTAAAAAAATTCAATATACTGAACAGATATCAGGTAATGTATGAAAACACCACTATCACCAGAAGGAGTTGTTTGATTTCATTAATTTTTTCCACAGATGTTCTTATCATTATAGTAGGTACTATTTTAAAAGAGGCAACATTTACTGGAACCTAATAGAATATGATCTAACCAACCAAAGAAACCTACCTAACCTTATCTATCTTCCTAGCCTGGGGCTCTGCTCCCCGAATTCCCCGAAGCGTGAGGAACATTTCTGTTCCTAATCTCATTCATGTCATTGAATTGTCTTTTGTTTGCCTGGAACATCAGCCCCTGTAGAAAGAGTCTTCTCAATTATGAAAAATATTTGGTACCAATACCGTAGCCTCATGGCAGAGAGCGCTGTTAAAGCCTTGCTTTCCTGCAAAGTTAATACTGTATTGATTTAACTTGCTCACAGTTTTATGACAAAATAAGAAATGACAGAAAGATGCGAAAGAAAGTACTATCGAGTGAGAAGTATGGTTGGTCAAAGACAAAGGAAAAAGAGTAAATTGTTTACCTGTATTATTGTGGTATCGTATACAGTACTTGTATAGACCCTGTATATGATTTACAACTTATTGCAATTTTTCTTCCTATGATGTTTGAAACAAGAATTTAGGTGATATTTTTCATTATTATGTTCCTGAATATTTTTTCGGTAAATTTTTACTTTAAGAAACGAATCCCTACAGGTTGACCAATATGTTTTTCCAGGGTATTTTGGTGTATTTTAAACAAATCTGACCTTCATTTTTTGCGGGAATTGATAGTTGTTGCCCCCCCAACAATAATGGGGAAGAGCCTGTGAAATCGGGGTTTTTGGGTGGGGGAGAAAACGAAAACGAGTCATCTGACCTAACCTAACTCCTAGCTGGGGGCAGAGACCCCTGGTAGGCCTAGGTTAAGCTAACCTAAATGTTTCACTAGTTAAAAACTTTGGGGTGTGCCATGTCCCAAAGTACAATACCCTAGTTAGAAGTGAAAGGACCAGGGCTATGTAAGAATCGGATAGAATGATCGTCTTTCTCGTAAAACTCGGCAATAAACATAAAATAATTGTAGGAGCACAAACGACAACCAACCTCCACCACGGCCATTGTGAAACTGGTTAATGAAATTAAAAGAAATAATTATCATATCAGAACATCACTGAAGAAAATATATTAGTAAGAAAACAAACACCCAAACAAATAATGTTTCAGGGGTCCAACGAATTACCCAAAAGTACCCAAAAGTATAGCAAATAGGGGTAAAATCTTAACGAATATCTGTTATACATACACAAAACATGTTTAATAATATTTTTAGTGTAATTTTGCAAAAATAATTTGTAAGATGAAATAATAAACAGCGAAAAACTTTCAGTATTGGCGAACGCTTAATTCCAAAGAGTTCGTGAACAAGGGAGATAACTCAGATCCATCGTGATGCACTTCGCTAACCTAACCTAACCTAACCTAACCTAACGAAAAGTAAATCCTACGGCTATGTTAAATACCCCGAAGTAACAGAGACATCGGTAATTATATCTCCATTTTGGATAGGTGACTCTTTGGAATTTAGCATTTTTCGTTGTTTATTATTTCATTATTTTGACTACATTTCAATGAAAACATTATTAATCAGGTTTTATTGATGCAAAACATATATTCGTTAAGATTTTACCCTGATTTAATATACTTTTGGGTAATTCGTTGGACCGAAACAAATAATGTTTCAGCGGGTTAGTCATCAATATTAGCCCGAATCTTTACCGTGGTTTCCTTATAAATAACCAAATATCATTATACGGAATAAATATAATTATACTAAATAAATATCTAACTGCACTTCAGTAATCATCAGCTGTTCTCTCTAAAAGGTAGTGACTACACGACCTCAACTTACTTCCAAATAGCATCTTACTCAGAAATTATCATCACATACCTTTAAGATATTACTGAATTAAATACAATCGTTTTATTATTACCTTAAAAACAGGGACAGTTATCCAAAAATACTTTAAAGTTACCTTAGTACCAGTGCTGCCCGGCCCCGTGGTTCACTGTTTATATTACCATCAGTGTCATCAATGTTAGCCAAAGATCACGAACATTTTATTTTACACTTCCGATTTGTTCTTCGAATTTGTGGTTTCATTGCCATAATTTAAAATTTGTATATCCACCATTAAAATTTATTTTATCTAATTTTTGATAAGTACATTGTATTTCACCAAACACAAACAAACATTCAGACACAAACACATAAGAGGATGAGATTGAGGGGAGGACTATGGTAACTTTTTCAGGATTAGGCTACCCATTCTACTCAGATCTTCTGGAAGAGGCTCACGCCTGTGACTCCAGCTCAATAGCCTCTTCTCTACTCAGACGGTGACTGCGTGTGGCGGATATTTGTGCCCAATAATTATATACTTGTTCTTGATTTTTCCAGTATTTATCTAATTTTACTTCAAACTTTTCCACTGTCTCCACATTCACTACCCACTCAGGTAACCCATTCCAGTTGTTGACAACCCTACTCGGGAACGAATGTCTTCTGAGATTTAGCCTCGCTCTTGTTTTGTAGATCTTCTTTGTGTTCCCCCGGGTAGTGTCAGCCTCCCTCAGCTGGAATATTCCTGCTGTACATCTTACTTTTATCCTTAGCTTTCGTCTTTATTCAAGCGACCAGTGCCGCCAACTGGGCAGGAGTCAGCCAACCACGGGAAGCGAAATAGGCGGGAAAATTCCTCATTTACAAATATTTACTGTACATATTTCAAGACAAGGAAAGAAGAAAACACAAAGTTCCTAAGCGCTGTCGTGTAATTCACATCTTCAGGGGTGAGTCTGTACTCACCCCTGAAGATGTGAATTATCAGTGTTGCCATCTGTCCTGATTAAATTAATACTATAGAACATGGTTAATTTCTTGCAAAAAAAGAAAGAAAGAAAAACAATTCTAATGTTTACAACTTTACATGAATTATTGAAAAAGGATAAACTATTAAAGCACAGCGGGCGGGTAATGCTAACAATATTCCTGTCTTGGAGGAAAGTACGAGGTATTATTTTATGTCCTTTCTTCCTTGTTATAGTTAAACGTTCGGTGGCAGGCACAGGTATTCCGATTGTGTACTCGACACTTTGCCACCACAGTTAGTTAGTGGACAGATAGACGGGCACTTTGTTATTGAACGAAGAGAATATATAAAACAAAAGTAAAAGGCACCATGAAGTGAAATGCTGCAAGGAAACATTATAACTGCAGACGGGGTAGACTTGTGCTGTGATCTACACAAAACCCAATGTGATTTAAACAATAGAAAAATGGTAAGCTGATTAAAAATGTATAATTTTCGTAATTTTTGAAGGGAATATCATAAAACATGAACATAATAAAAATCCCACCATGACAAAAAAATTCAAGTAAAAAAAAATATATATATATATATATATACTTATTGTCTCTGTTTGGGATGTCAGTGGAGATTTAAAGTTCCCGGATGGTCGATGCTGTTGGTGACGGTGGTGTGGCTGGGGGCCTGGCAGTTCAGAGGAATGCCGAGCAGAGTGATCACCTGGACTTCACTCTACTCCCAGGTGATGGTGGCGAGGAGGGAGTTCCCGGTCAACCCACTCTGTCGTGAGTTATTAAATTTAAGATTACTGTGTGTGTGTGTGTGTGTGCTTTTACGTGTCTATTTACTGTATGTTTGTGTGTGTGTATGTGTGCGTATCTCTCTCTAACGAGCCGATCAGTGGTGAAGAGCATAAAAGAAAAACGAAAGAAAAGAATGCTGATAATATTATATTTTTACTATTATAATGCCGTATCGACACTACTACTACTACTACTACTACTACTATTAAACCCATTGATATTACTACTCTTCTATTTACAATTTTGATACTGTTACTGTCACGCTTATAATAAAGTACCACTATTGATTGTGACTTCAGATGTTAATGAAGTATCTTCAGTACAAGGAACACTAAAATACCTAACTTGGTGTACGATAATTAATTTTTGGTTACATAAGAGCCGCAGGATCACGTAGGGTAAAATAGTGAGTATCGTAAAAATAGAAGATACGTAGAAAACATTAAATTTCTCTACTGCATTTCAATATAAAGCTTGATTTTGTTAGTTTCCATCAGCTGCGTACAGTGCGACTAAATAACGTAGCATCATAACAATAGTAATTATAAGGTTTTTCTACTGACGGCAGCGAGGCGTTGTTTGCGTCAGCGCCTACGGGAACGATTACACTGGCAGGACAAACGGTTGATGACCCACCTTCAGGGGATGATGGAGGCAGGGCCAGGGGTAGCAAGCCGTCTTCACCCCCAGAACCCCCCCTGGGCACGGAGACCCTCTTACAACGCCACCGAGAACTACCTCAGGGCTCTCACTGATGGCGAAGTACTTTCTCTTTAGTATTATTATCGTTATAATGGAAGGCCAGATAGTAATAAAGATAAGAACTATCCAGTATGTGCAGTTTAATGCTGGTCACATTTGTAGTCATTAATTAATTTATTAATTTAGTAAAGGGACCCTATAGGGGATATAAGTATTAAGACTCTCTAGGCTATATTTCGCTGATTCGAATTACTGTCGACCATTGTTTGTATACCAGCACTCAGTATTGATGCGCTGTGAGCTTGTCTGGCGAGTTTATTGAATTATCTATTTATTTATTAGGTGGACGGGGTGTTCGTGGAGATAGGGGCACAGGACGGGCAGTGGTTGAGCAACACTTGGCGGCTGGAGGCGACGCAGGGGTGGCGGGGACTGCTTGTAGAGGCTGACCCCAGGAACTACCAGCGCCTCCGAACGTCCCCAAGGACCTCCTCCACCCTCCCTGTCTGTGTTACTCCCGGCCTCACCGTCCACAAGGTAAGGTACTCTACCGACGGTGAGAGGGAGGCGGAGAAGGGACACACACACACACACACACACACACACACATGAAGAGAGGAAAAGTAACAGGAGAGTAAGAATAACACTGAACCAAACAGATATAAGGAACAAAAACACAGATCCACAGACACATAAATTAGTTAAATCATAGTATTGTCTGGTCACTCATACCACAGACCGTCATGCATCAGTCAAAACGTTATCTCCATTACTGAGATACGATGGAGCATTTTCTATTATTATTAAACAGTTATGATTTACGTTAGTGATGTCAAGTGAAAACCAAAGTGATTCATTTCAATTTGCACCCCTGCCTGTTTAAACGTGATGCTTCTCAGTATGCAAATGACTCTCTCTACCTGTTATGTTGTCATATTTATACTTAATCATTGTAGTTTACCTGTATTTCATTTAGAGTCTTTGCAGTTTTTAGAGGTAAACTTATTGAGAGTAAATCTTAATATATTGCATGGAAATGTAGGGAAGGTCTCACACTTGTAGTATATTGAATTAACACGTGTCAAGTTTTTCAGTATTCATATGTGTATCACTTCTCATGCATTTATTAACAATTCGTTTCCACATAACAATTTATTTTCTTACACACTGACGTATTTATCAATATTTCATTCAATTCTGTGTATTACATTTAAGTGTGATCTATAGGAATCCATGATAAAGACCCACTACCCGAACACGGCCACAGAGGGGCTACTCCGGGCACAAGAAGGTCGCTCTAAGCTTCGCAGATACGCCACGGCCTCGGTACGTCTCAAGGGGTGTACGCTGCCAGTGGGTGCATTCTCTTTTAGTACCCAACCGAATAAAATCTTCATGGACAATATTACTGGTGATATTATTTTATGTAACTGAACTCAATCTTTTCTGAAACCTGTAGTTTATTACGAGTTAATATTTTTTTTCCTAATTCGATGCTACTGTCCCATTGAATATAAACATTCTCAAGGATATCTCCGTATGTAGTCATGCTCGATGTATCTATATTTAAGATAATAACCTCATATACATTAACATTACTATGGCTGTAACCCCAAAACCACGGATTGTAGTTAGTAACAATACAACAAGGATATAACCCCAAATGGTCCACTAGATGTAGTTCCCGGCTTATACACCACTGGTTAGGTCATTAACACCATCTCAGGATTCTGTTTAAAAAAGAAAAGAAAAAGAAGTCTCCCAAATATCAACAGTGTGTTGGCCTTACTCTGATCATTAAACTGACCTGCTTTTAGGGTTGCCACAGGATTTTCAGTGTCCTAATGACGAGTTCCCTCAGTCTTCTGTCAGTCTTGGCCTAGATTTAGCTACACCTCATCATCGTCTCAGCTTAATCTTAACATTAACTAAGCCACTTATGTGTCCCAACAGGAGGTGTGGGCGGGGGACGAGTGGAGCACGACCTGTTACCCCATCATCTCCGTCCTCGCCGCCTTCAGGTACAGAAAGGTGAGACACAGCTGGAGGGGAGAAGAGCTCAGACTTAGGGTAATGGGCCAGTGACATAAAGGGGAGATCTGGATAAAAAAACAAAAAAAACCATCAGACAGTATTTTCATTTCAGTGTTGTTTTTCAGGATAAACATAATTTCAAAGCTAATAAAACATTAGTGTTATGCAGAGTCATTATCAAGTATTACCATCCTATACCAATGTATCAATCGACTGCAGGATCAGGGGGCTATCTTCAGCCTAACCTGCCCTCTGAGAACCATCAGATTATCCATTTTCTTCTGTCCATTTACTATCCCTTTATTCCAACTATCCATCTCCACACCCTGATAAACCTTCTAACTATCCAACTCCCACAGATTGACCTCCTGACCCTTGACCTGTCTGGCGGAGGCTTGGAGATGACGTTAGACTTCCTCTCCAAAAATAAACAACTTGGCAGTCCCTTCTTTGTCAGAGTGAGTCAGCATAGTCGTTACTCTTAGGACTTATTTATCAACTTATATATTTCTCTTTAGAAGTCTTCAATTATTTTCTTTATTAGCTCTTAGTTGAGTATTTTCTGTTTACTAATTCTTATTGAAATATATTTGTAAGGCCCAATTATTATATTTACCCAATTGTTAGTATTAAACCTTTTATTTATCTATTCATAATTACTTTACTTTATCCTTAATACGTGTCTTAGCTCTTCGAATGTTATAAATTACATTTTTATCTTTCCTCCATTTAGTTATATTCCATCTATATATATTTTGCTGGACTTTTCAGGTCAAATGAGATACACATTTCTTTTGTTGAGAATATATTATTGGTTATGCATATTACTGACATCATTAACAGTGTATAAGTTATTGGTTTGTTTTCATTTGTTTTCAGCGAATCTTATATCAGGACAGTCAGCTCTCACAGTTCTTCGACTTAAACCAAGTCAGAGAAGATTTTAAGAGACTCGGCTACCACATGTTGATGATGAAACCAGTCCATTATCTTCTCTACCACGAATCGATCAGTGTCGCCATCCACTGATTGAGTTTGTATCGCAAAATGCAGACGAAAGGAAGATAAATCATTGAACAAGGGAATAAACTATGGATGATTGACGAAAAACGAGCGAGTATGCAGACGGCTATCTGAATAAATAGTTCTACTGTATATGAAACAAGTAGTGTACAGTACATCGTCCCTTTCTTTGTCATGTCGGGAACAGAAACTAAGAAATATGAATACAAACTAAAAAACAATATATATACAGTTTTTGTCAGAGCACTTGGTCACAAGTGTGTCTAAATTTCATCTTCCTGGGATATACCTCGGACAACCATCCAACCAACCAACCCATGACAAACTAACTACTAAACTACCCGTGAGACCTGGAGATGGATATAGGGTGGGAAATGGTGGGGGGTATGACGCAGCACCATCCCTCCCTTGATAAAATTGACTGAATCTTGACCGACTTACTGTAAAAAAAGTTGGACCTCTTAAGATTAACGTGCCCTGACGTTGACCTAACCTAACTTAACCTAACCCTCCCCCCCAGGTATCTTTACGAAGTTTAATCATACGGCCTCTTTCACACACTGATATATTTCAATATATTAGTTGTCCCTTTTGTTACGAACCCCGCCACCAATTGTCATGATCTACCTACCCAGCACTACGAACCACGCCATCTATTGTCCTGATCTACCTACCCAGCATCACGGCAACGCCATCTAGGGACGAAACACGAGTATGACTCGTCTTAGTTACCACTCCCGGGTTTCCCTTCTACATATCCTGGTTGTTGCGTCACCTCCTCAAAGTCTTCTTCGTCAGCTCCAGTTCGAGGAGAGAGCACTTCACTCTGGGAAGTGACCACAGGATCACCTATCCTGGAAACCTACGGCACAGTGACTACCTACCGTCTTCTACAATACTCAGCCTTACTCGTCAGCCATCTCAGCTCAGCACTTAAGTATTTGTAATCTTGTATTGCCTCTCCCACCTCCACCTTGCTTCAAATTATTGTATGTTGTATAAATATGTATATACTGTTAATGTTTAGGTTAAGTATGGTTAAGGGTAAATTATAGAAAGCTGAATATTTTGTTAAGGAATTTATGGTACTTTATTATACACAACAAAAACTCGCATCCTTTGTCTACCCTTTTATAGTCCGATTGTCTTTGTTTTTTTGTTGTTGTTGCCTGTTGGGTTCTGGGTAGACTTTTAACTATATTCAAAATCCCCAACTCGTAACATGCTCGACACTCTTCCACTTCACTACACCCCAGCCTTTAGTATAACACAACTCTACGCAGGATATTACGAATGCATCAACAATAATGAACCTCCGAATATTTTACACAACAAAAATCATCAGAGGCGTGTAATGTAGACAGCTGGTGGAGGTTCACTGTTGTAATATTGAACTTTGTCTCTGTCAGTTGGAAAGTTCAACATAAAGTTCACTATAGTTTGTTGGCATTGAGTAAAGTACGGGCGATACTCACACAGACACTTCTCAGTAAGCGGAAGGGGGGGCAGTGTTGGATGAACTGGGGAATAGTACAGTGTATTAAATTGTTTCCACCCGGAGAATATTAAATAATGGGTTAGGTCAGGCTAAGTAAGATTAGCTTGAGGTAGGTTAGACTAGGTTTCGTCAGGTCATATTTTATGTTTGATATGATTCACAGATCAATTCCTTCAAATATATATAATTTTTTAATTTGTACACACGGGAACATGGAAGATATAAATTTGCAAGTGGGAAATAATTTAAATTGTGGATAGCGTCAGGTTAATGTGCTTAAAATCTATTGCGCCCTAAAAATTTACCATCGCATTTCATACTCATACAATTAATTATTTTTTTTTATATATGTAAGCGAAATTAATGTATATTGTTGTATCTTGGAAATAGAACTCCTTCATCAGATCCTTATGTTATGATGGTAACCTTAACGTAATATATTTGGTTTTGGTACGAGGCTTCAGAGGATATGCTGATGTTGTGGTTTAGCCTAGTCCTACATTTCAATGTTGCAGGGGCCGGGGTGGTGGGTAAGGGGGCAGCGCCGTCTCCATTAGTGATATCCGCCCTGATTTCAGTGTCCAGGATGAGCTGGTACTCTCTCTCAAACTATTTCTCTCTATCAATTTATCTATTCAACTCTGTCTATTTATCCATCGGTATCTACAGGCATCTATCTATCTATCTATCTACCTTTCTATCTCTATCGATCTATCTATCTATCCAGGCCCTGTGGGGGAAGATTTATGGACCTTGGTGCTATATTTCCCTTCTTCATCACCTCTATTTCTCCCTGGTACGAGCTAGTGATCTTTAGGAAGTTATTGCGTAATCTGCCTGCCTGTTACACATGACCTAATTTAAATAGAAATTAAGTACAGATTGTTAGGGTGGTTAGTTTACTATTGTGTTGTTGAAATTATAATGTATTACAGCCATTCAACAACTACAGTCATTAAGTACAAACACAAGTCATCAACATTTGAAATTGAAGTGACGTCTTTCATAATAATCGACGCTCCCACTCTCGCCAAGGTATTTATTCTACCTTCTTGTTCATCATATTTCATATCCGAGGTCATTCCTCCTTAGCACGTCAAATTACATCTTATATAAGAGTTTCGTGCAAAAATTCCAAGCAATTAAGTGCGCAAGTAATGAGTATTAAACTTTTACTGAATAAAACTAGGATGGAAGAATTTAATACCAAAAATGAAACATGAATTTGATTTTGAATTAAATGAATGAAAAAAAAAATCTTGTCTCTAGTACTTATAGTGATGCCAGACTTGTTGTTATGGTGCTGGGATGATCTATGTTCATTAGGACGTTGAAACACAAGAATTGTAAATGTCCCCCCCCCCTACCTTGCCGTTTTCAGGTGCCGGGCAAGTTCATGGTTCTAGAATATAAATGATTGCTCGTTATCTTTCTTTCCTTGTCTACCCAGTATGTCAGGACCTTTTTGAGTCAAGAAACTGAAATTTGACTCATATTTTGTTCATGGCATGGAGAGGGAAGGGGGGGGGGAGGGGGTGGTGGACCTTTACTTGTTTATAATATTCTTGTGACGTCTTTCGTAACACTATTTATTTATTTTTAATTTCACTAAGCTTATACAACAAACCCACAAACAAACCATTTACAAGAGGGAAATATCCACCATTAGACAGTAGATACTTTCCCCGGGTAAATATACCACAGAAGGTTAAATATTTTACAAGGCAAACATTCCCTCGGAGACTCTTTACTGCCCCCGGTGTGTCGTAAATCCTGAAAGTTGGGAAAAACAGGTGAAACTGTCTGAGGTGAAGAAGAATGTGATGAAGGTTAGAGTTCACATGTGCCCCCTCCCATACTAGTTGTTATGGACCCCATCCTAACCATACCATTAGGATTTAGGCCTAACCTAACCTAACTCAACTCGACGTAATGTAACCTAACGTAACGTAACGTAACCTAATCCTAACCAACGTAACCTAACCTAACTAGACCTACTCCAACCGAATGTAAACAAAACAACGTAACGTAAATCAGTCGAACCAAGTCTAACCTTAACGTAATCTAACTTAACCTAACTCTAATTTAATCTAAGCCAACCTCTCTCTCTTTCTCTTTCTTCTCCCTTACTTTCGCCCTTTCACACTCTTTACTCTGTTTTCCTTCAGCGTCTCTCTCTTTCATTTGCCCTTTCTCTTTCTCCTTCGTCCCCCTCTCCCCCCCACACTCTGTCACGTTTACGAAAGTTCCTTAACTATGACGACAGGTGACAGGAGTTCCCCGGACGGTGGTAACTCAACTGTTAACGTCAGGGGGTGGTGGATGTTGATAACTTATCGGCTGTGATATAGTGTGGGTAGAAGCGCGTGGTTTCTGTCTGTGTGGTGCTGGCAGTCTCCTGTGTACCTATTGGGGAAAGTTTAATTGGAGAGAGAGAGAGAGAGAGAGAGAGATCTATGTAAATTACCTTATACACTTCATCTTTAAGTTTTACCTACCTAAAGTTGTCATGCAATATGTCAACTGCATTCTGATTCACAGTTCACACTTCACACCATATCACTGTACTCCAGGAAGAGATATCACTGTTGGGTCTATCTCTCTCTCCGATGCGTCACTCGGCGAACAGATATAGAGGGAGATAGTTATTTTAGTCACTGCCATAATGTTGTGTTTACATTATCAATCAGCTGATGGTCACGTGAAAAGTACCAGGTAGCTAGCGGGTACACCTGGTGGGCGGGCAAGGGTATAAATTATGGTGTCTTCCTCCTGGCTGCCATAATCACGCAAGACACAGAAGGCGGCAGTACATCAGAATCCGCTTCAGACTCAACAATAAACAACATTTGTATTCAGTTCTTTAGCTTCAACTTATCAAGGTTTGGAACTTAGATTATTTTGTTAATTATTATACAGTATAGGGATTTATTTATTTATCTTATTAATTCACCAAGCTACTGTGTTCTTAATATACAATAATCAAACACCATATTTTGATAAGTTCTTTGTAAATTAAACAGCAGTGACGTCGTTTTTGTGGTAGAAAGATGTCAAACGACTATGAGGTGGAGCCCGTCACTGACATCATCAACTTCGGTGAGGGGCCACACTGGTCCGTGGACGACCAGGCCCTCTACTTCGTCGACATGTATGAGCAGCTGGTGCGTCGCTACCACCCGACCACTGACACACACACCAAGTTACACATAGGTAAGTAGCACCACAATCTACTCCACGGCAAACACCACAGCAACACCAGTTAACACCATACCACAATTAAAATCAAATCACTACAACACCACAGTTTAACATTACAGCAACACCACAACACAACAGTTAACAACACCAAACCGACTATCATCTGCCACATATGAAGCCTCATCGTCCCTCCATCAAAAGAGTTAAGTAAAGAGCTTCTCTCATGGAGGTGTGAGTCTTAACATGTGTCTTCTGATAGTGATAATCTGTGACCTACTGAGCCTACGATAAGTCTATTATACATAAACTTGGCCAAACAGAAATTAGGAAAATAATTATATGTATTGGACTCTTTGTATTTCCAATTTGCGCCACACCGTGTCATCAAATGTTATATAAACAAATTATTCGTACTACCTAACCTAACTCCATAATTGCCCGACTCGCCAGTTAATGCTTGTTTGTCATAATTCTGGTGCTGACCATCACACAACGTCATTACTACTTCTTCACTATGTACCGTATACTTCTTGTTCCCCCTCGTCCTTATACTCTGGTCCCTCGTCTCACTTGACCGCCTGTTCAATATTGTCTCCACGTCATTCGTGGTTTTCGTTTTTCTGCTCAATTTTCATTAAGGTTCTTATGACATTCTTATAGCTTGAGAAATCACACATTGAACTAATATATCTGTAATCTGACTTTACTCAAGAAAATTTACAAGATATTATTATCTTATAAATTGCAAACTTCAGTGTCCACCAAGCAAAGTCCCAAGGAACAACACATTCATTAATGGCTATCTAATTTTATGAACATCCTGAATATGAGATATAACGTGTAAGTAGCACGTGACATATCATATTCCGGGTATAACATGTAGACTGTGTCTGTCCCCAGAGGGCGGGCCCATCACACTCGTGGTGCCGCACAAGAACGAGAAAAACACCTTCGTCGTAAGCATCGGTCGTAACCTGGCGGCGGTGACCTGGCCAGACCCCAACCAGGACTTCTCTGTCACCGCCGATGACTACAAGGTCTTGGCCACCGTCGAGCAGGACCTCCCAGACAACCGCTTCAACGACGGGAAGTGTGACGCCAACGGCAGAATGTGGGCTGGTGAGGGCACTGAGGTGTGACGGGGAGGAGGGAGAAAGATAGGGGCATTTATTATATGTACAGGTGGATAGAATCACTCAAGGAATGAAATCACCTCTTGTCTATACAGATAAACAAAGAAACAGTTACGGGAGTGCAGGGGAAAGAACAAATAAAGGGAAGGTATGAGAGAGAGAGAGAGAGAGAGATTCACAAGACTTAATCTCCCTAGGAACAATGAGCCAAGAGGAGGACCCTGACCATCACGGCAGCCTCTACCGCCTCGACGGTGACCGAACCATCACCAAAATGGTAGACAAGGTCAGTGCCGGAGTCAGGTCACTAAAGGGGGGTAGAGTTGACTTATCTTGTATGCCATACAGGTCATAACTATGTGATAAAGTGTCTATTAACGATGTTTATGGTTGAGATGTTTTCGATCACCTTGACCTTGGTTAACTTGAGGCTCGTCCCGGCAGTTGACCCTCAGCAACGGGATGGCCTGGACTGAGGACAACACCACCATGTATCACATCGACACCAACGAGTACAAGGTCAACGCTTTCACCTTTGACCTCACTACCGGAACTATAAGTAGGATAATGTCTCTCTTAACTCCATATTAGAGAAGATATTTTGTTCTCTTTAGTCATATCAATATACTGTAATACCTAATACAAGAATACGGATAAATTTCTAAATGTTTATCTGAAGAATCGTCAACCTTGATAAAGAGGATGATCTTGACTAAACACAAGAGTTAAATAACGGTACTTTGATCTTACTAATGAATATCAAACAATGGCAATTTAGTGTGTAGTGTTGATCTGTCCAAGTCGAATACATGTCTTTGCTCTGTATGTATTAGATGATAAGGACGATAATGTACTTACAACCAATCCAAGAAGTATCGAGACCCCAAGTGTCCCAAAGAATATGAAACATCGAACAAAGACCAACACAACTCAACCAACACATGAACGAGTCTGATGTTATCGCTCATTTTCTATTCCACAGGTCCTGAGGTCTCGATACTTTTTAACAGGGGGGGTTTGGTATACAGTATACGTGGCCACTATCACTTAAGTAGTTATCACTTTGACGTGTCTGTCTCTGTACTTGTGTAATCCCTTGGAGTTATGGTGTTATTTCTGAGTTAGTGAGATGAATGACTAATGACCATATTCTGTTTTTTGATTATTATTAGTAATGATATTGATATTTAAATACAGTAGTTTATTTAGCCAGAAAAATACAAATACAAAATTAACAATAGCAACAATATTGACATGGCTGAGTCATGTGTTTGTGTGTGTGTGCGCTTCTACGTGTGTGTTTGGGTGTGTATTTCCCATGTATATGTATGTATGTATGTATGTATGGTGACTGGTGTTTCAGGTGACCGTCGTGTGGTGATCGACTTCCAGGAGGCCGGCCTCGCTCCGGCTAAACCAGACGGCATGACCATCGACACGGACGGTAACTTGTGGGTCGCAGGGTTTGGTTCAGGCACGGTAGGTGGACAGGGAAGCCTGGTGGTTGAGGTTCAGACGCGGAGGGTTGTTGGAGTATATCGTAACAGAGTAAATTAACGTTATAAAACACTAACAATAATTTAAGACATATAAACCATAAACTCGGGTAAAGATTCGCGAGTTCATAGTCGGAAATTTTGACCTAGACTCATATACACATATATATAAGACACATTAAAACTTACCTAACACAGACTGGGGGAGTGAAAAAAATATTGAAGTGAAGAGTTTACCCTATAGTTCCCACACGTTTTCTGTTACATGTATAATAAACTACAAGAAATTATATTTGCTCTGTATCACCATACCCGAGACAGCTTAATTGTCAGCAGGGTGCAAACATCTGTATAAATATATAATGTGCATATTTATTGATGAAAGCCGGAACTAGACGCGCTCACGAACATACAATGCTCGGGCTACTTATGAAATAGACCTTGACAAGATTATCAACACAGTGGAGAGATCCTACACAGGTCACTGGCCTCCTTTCCTCGGCATGGCCACCTCTAGTGGGTGGCCATTAGCATAACTGAGGATTTAATAAAAAAAAAAATACAAGAGTTTACTCGGGACCATGGCGTTTTATACGACTAAATGCTGAAAAACGAATAAATGTGTACTGTACCTTTACAGTTAATTACGGTATGACATCATCACCTGTGGAGTTATGTGAGTAAAAGTCACACACAAGGATTTATTACTCACTTTAATCCTGTTTTATTTTAGAGAGAGAGAGAGAGAGAGAGAGATACATTATGTCAGCAGGTGTTCTTGTACCCCGGCAGATTTTCAACATAGAGCCCAGCAGCGGGAAGGTGTTAAGGAAGGTGGGGGAGCTGCCCTCAAGTGAGACCACCTCCGTTTCTTGGGGCGGACCCGACTTAGACCACCTCTTCATCACCACTGGGGCAGGTCCTGTCTACAGGTGAGGGAATAGCTTTGTCGGTAGATGAGACTGATGAAGGGAGGGTGTTGTCTGTGAATGAGGTTCTATGAGGTCGGTGACTATCGTAAATTTATCATAATGGTTTATTCTTTGACTGACTGTGTTGTCCTTGGAATGATCGTGTTGTCCTTGGAATGATCGTGTTGTCCTATGAGTGAATAATTTATCTTTAAACTGTTTGACTGGTTGAGTTTGTGTCGTCCTCAGGGTGACAGGTCTCGGGGTGAAGGGTCGCCCTGGCGCCTCCTGCACAGTGGAACTCCCCGACGTTGCTACCACTCAATAGTATCATGATGACCTTCCCCCATCCCCAGCCTCTCTGACACAGGCATCTATAGAGGACGTCTTAAGTGCTGTCACCTCCACATTCTACATACGAAATCCTTTGATGGTTTACTACGACTGTCCATCTCAGTGCATCATTCCCCGTCGACCTCACCAGAGACATAGTTACCCACACACCACCTGTTTTGGTCTGCTCGATTACAAGTGATATTATGGCAACTGTGGTATAATTTAGGAACATTTTAAAAGCATAAGCCACTAACTTAACCTAAACTAACCTAACCTAGCTCTAACTCTAACCTAACCTAACCTAACCATAAACCTTTAAAATAGAATATATTTACTGTATACATATTTTCTATTAATAAATCATATACGTTCAATCTAAACCATATTTTGTGGACGTTTTAATGTCAGTCTTGGAATAGGTAGAGTGTGTAGATGAAGGACAATGATAAAAGAATAAATAGAGGAAATTTAAGGAATAAGGAATAAGTAGTGAAGAATGAAGAGATGCTTGAAGGAGCTTATTATATATCTCTCTTTCTCATTCTCTCAGCCTTTCATTTGTTATTCTCTCTCTGCATTATCTCTTTCTGTCTGTCTGTATGTCTTTTTCGTTCTAATTTTCTGTCTGTCTGTCTGTGTGTCTCTTCATATCGTTCGCTTTTTCTTTTTTCCTCACTCACTCACTCTGCTTTCTTTCTTTCTTTCTTTCTCTCAGTAAAAGAAGGAAAAGAGAACAAATATATTCACAGCTGACAAACAAAGAGACATTCATGCTCGGTGTATCTGACGTGTGGGTTATGACCTCCCTCTCCCATGCCCCCTCTCTAATGCTCCCTCTCCAATGCTACCTCTCCAATGCTCCCTCTCCAATGCTCCCTCTTCAATGCTCCCTCTTCCACATTTCTTCCTTTTCGTTCCTCTCGCCATTAATCCTCATTCCTCCTACTCTCTTATATTCTCTCTCTCTCTCTCTCTCTCTCTCGATCTCTCAAGCTGTCTCACTCACACTTTCTCTCCCTCTTCTACGCTCCATCACCCTCTCACTCCGCGGTTTCCCTTACCTCTTAGCTTTCTTTCCTCTTTCTCCTCTCTTTCTCTTTACCATCCTCCCCTACACCCCTCCTCTTCCACATCACCCCTTTCTTCTCTCTCTTTATTTTCAATGTATCATCAAATTCTCTCCTCTTCCTCCTGCTCCTCCTCTTCTTCCCTTTTCTCTATCTCCCTCCTCTCCCTAACCTCTCGACCTGTGTATTTACTCTCCTCCCTATTCTTCCATCTCTTTCTCTCACCTCCCCTCCCCTTGCCCATCATTCTTTTCCCCTTTACCTCCCATTGGTCTTAATTTTCCCTCTTCTTCCTCTTTCTCCCCCTCCCCCCCTTGTCTCTCTCTCTCTCTCTTTCTCCTTTTCTCAATTTATATATTCGGATTTACGTTCCACTATTCCTCATTTTTCTCTCTTCCTCCTCCTCTTCCTCTTCCTCCTCTCTCTCTCTCTCTCCTCGTCTCCTCTTCCCAATTTACACACCGACTCAAGATAATAATGAGCAGCGGTGAAAAATAAGACTCTTGGTATAGGTTGGACCAAGACGCCACCGCACAGTCATCCCCCCCTCCCTCTCTCTCTCTCTCTCTCTCTCTCTATTCTTCTTCGTTTTTTCCTTTTCTCATTTATATCTTTTTACTTTTTTTCCTCTCTCTTTTTTTTTATTTATATCTTTTTACTTTTTTTTCCTCTCTTTTTTTTATTTCTCGTGTTGTGGAAAATCATCAGTCAGTGACAAGATGTCTCGCGTCCACTTGTCGTTCTCGAAGTGTGGAATATTTCGTCTGCTATTTTTATTCTCATGTGTAAATAGTTTGTAATTGAATTGACATATTTGATTATATATGAGATTTAATACTATATTTTCTTTTAATTCTCGGAAGGGAAGACAAGGAAAGAGAAATAAATATAAGACTAAAAAAAAAGTTGATGAAATGGAAATAAAATAATGATGAAGAAAAACCCACCAAGAAATACACAGACCAGATATATATAAACTTGATTACCTGAAGATTAGACACCCTAGTTTATTATCCTCCCCCTCCACACACACTTAACGCTCCGTGGGGTTAGTTTTTATCTTTGTCAGTCACTTTGTCTCTTGTCTCTCACCATCTTTATCCTTTTTGTTTTATTTCTATGTCTCCAACTTTGTTATCTATTCTTCTTTTGTATTATTATATCCTTAGTTATTATTATCCTTATTGTGTTTACGTTTTTTCTCCACAGACAGACAGACACAAACTCAGGTCATCATCGTTTTTTGTCCATTCGTATATAAATTATTATCATCATCATCGTCATCATCATCATCATCACTATCACTATCATCACTATCATCATCACTATCATCATCATCATCATCTTCATCATCATCACCATCATCATCATCACGGGGGACCTCGTTAGGGGACGGGGACTCTTCCTCTGAATATATGACACACCTAACTGGCCTCATCACAGTGTTAAATCAGTCTCTGCCGTCTTCATCGACGACTAAGAATCCTTATTATTCATACGTGATTTAACCTGATATATTCTCTCTCTCTATCTCTCTCTCTCTCTCCTTTTTTCTCTTACAATCTGTCTTTCTTTCTTTCTTTATAGATTCCCCAGTACAAGCCAAAGACAGATTCTGGCTACATTTGTTGAATTCGTGACTTTGAAGTTACTTTTCCTTCAGGTGAGATTAATTCTCTTCCTACTCCCCGTTCTTTTCTCTGCCTTCATATTTTTCTATGTCCCTCCATACATCTTGTCTTACTCCTTCTATGCCTTTTATCGGTATTTTCTTAATTCATTTGAAGGAGGCAGCCAAGAGAATCATACTTTAGCGACAGGCAGGAAATTGAACCAAAATCGACAACTCTCCTCCTCCTACGTGTTGCTGCCGCTACCACCAAAAACACGGATCACTCCTCAACACGGGTCGGTCCTCACACACGGATCGCTCCCTCCTCACACACGGGTTACCCCCTCCTCACACACGGATCGCTCCCTCCTCGCACACGGGTCGCGGGTTTCAATTTAAGCTTAATTACAGAAATCCATCGGAGCTGTTGACTTCACAAGGTATAGAACTTACTAACACGTTCTGCCCCGCCGTTCTTAGGTATGTAGAGTTATACAGGTAAGTCGTATCGTGAAACCGACCAAAGTTAAGATTCTGTACCGGGTGAGATTCTGTAACGGGTATTTCACAGATCGCGTAACATATGGAAATTAATGTTTTATATATATTTTTTTTCAGCGAGGGAATCATAGCAAATCAACGAAGATAACACAGATATTAAAATTAGAGGAATCATTAAATATTCAAGTGGAGACTCAGTTGGTAACACACCGATTAGTCACGTGAGTTGTTGATTAAATAGAGACTACAGGTTTACAAACAATAGTAAACAAACAAGTCAATATGATCAACGATAGCTAACAAAATCCTCATATACTTATACCCAGTAACAGTGTCCATTTTTAACTTTTAAGAACGTGAGAAGATACCCATTTATGGCGAGCCTCCGTGCAATCTCCAAGTCACTTCAGCTATCATGTTTGTGTGAGCCAGATTGATACGTTCTCACATCTCCAGTCAGATGAAAATTCAACAGTGGAATCTTTGAGAAGTTATTGACTGGTAGAAAACTCATCGTTATTTTACAGGAATTTGATTCGGTATATTACGGACGGACACACACACACACACACACACAAACATACACACACACACACACACATACTACTTTAAAGATTCTTATATCAAAAGGTATTAGCTGGTGCAGATATTAATGTGTAAGTAGGTGCTGGTCATTATACAGTTCAGTTCAGTGTGGAGACTTAGTGGTCGACCTGTAGTTGAAGGGTGAATGGGTGTGTCTATAGCAGTGTCTACTCTGTCTAACTGTCTGTCTGTCCCTGTCTGTCTGTTCCTGTCTGTCTGTCTCAGTCTCTCTTCCATCTCTCACCTCCTAAATTTTTTTCCCTGTCATTCGTGGACATTTTCCCCGCCTCACTAAACACACTCACCCAGCTGAGTATAAACCCACGAGGAGGATCTGTTCCCCTCTCCTTCACTCTGTTTCCTTCACTCTGTTTCCTTCACTCTGTTTCCTTCACTCTGTTTCCTTCACACTGTTTCCTTCACCCTGTTTCCTTCACCCTGTTTCCTCCACACTGTTTCCTTCACACTGTTTCCTTCACCCTGTTTCCTTCACTTTGTTTTCTCCACTCTCTTTCCTTCACTACGATTCCTTCGTTATGATTCCTAGACTCTGACGCGTTCACTCTAAATCCTTCACAGTTATACCTCCCTTAATCTTTCACATTCTCTCCTTCACTCTGAGTCGTCCTCTCCTTCACTCTGAGTCGTCCTCTTCGTGATGCCGTAATAATATTTTTCTATCATCTGGCGCGGGAGCAGGATGGTGGTTATGTAAGTAAACTAGTTGTGTACTTTGACCTACCAACTTGTTAACAGGTCAATGGCCAAGATGTTATTTTTACTCTTGCTTTTAACTGTAGATGGGATTTTTAACACAGACACACACACACAGATGGACAGACATAGAGACACGCAAAGACACTGTTACGAACCCCGCCACCAATTGTCATGATCTACCTACCCAGCACTACGAACCACGCCATCTATTGTCATGATCTACCTACCCAGCACTACGAGCAACGCCATCTAGGGACGAGACACGAGTATGACTCGTCTTAGTTACCACTCCCAGGTTTCCCTTCTCCATATCCTGGTTGTTGCGTCACCTCCTCAAAGTCTTCTTTGTCAGCTCCAGTTCGAGGAGAGTTCAGTTCACTCTGGGAAGTGACCACAGGATCACCTATCCTGGGAACCTACGGCACAGTGACTACCTACCGTCTTCTACAATACTCAGCCTTACTCGTCAGCCATCTCAGCTCCGCACTTAAGTATTTGTAATCTTATATTGCCTCCCCGCCTCCACCTTGCTTCAAAATTGTTTGTTGTATAAATATGTATATACTGTTAATGTTTAGGTTAAGTTTGGTTAAGGGTAAATTATAGAAAGCTGAATATTTTGTTAAGGAATTTATGGTACTTTATTATACACAACAAAAACTCGCATCCTTTGTCTACCCTTTTATAGTCCGATTGTCTTTGTTTTTGTTGTTGTTGCCTGTTGGGATCTGGGTAGACTTTTAACTATATTCTAAATCCCCAACTCGTAACAACACACACACACAAAAGTCACATATATAACTACACAGACAGATGGATACACACAGACAATTGGACAGAAACACACACACACACACACACACACACAGGTGAGTCTCTACCTGGCTGTTACAGAGAGATAGT